CACGACATAATAGAATTGCTGTAGATGGCTGGGCTATTCTGCCAGGGCTAGTCAGAGGAGTGACAAGAGAATAATTTGGACAAGGTCAGTAACTCTCATACCATCTCGAAAATAAAAGTTTAAAAGACAGTCTGTGGCTTTCCTTGATTTGTACAGAAAAGGAGACGATCCCTCCTGTGACAGTGCTAAGTGATGGCTCTGAGTGTAAATATGCTTTTTGGCACAAATTGTCCTGTCGTCGTTGTCTTGATTATAATTATAAAATAATGGGTTTCTGAAAGGCTGCAAGCAGTTCTGGGAATGACAATAAGGGTTTAGAAACAACATGGTGTTTCTGTGCGAAGTGTTTTGTTGAAAATTAAACCTACATTTAGGAGAAAGGATTGTACTGTTTGCTCCTAAGAAGCTATCTCAGTATGTAATTAAATCAAAGTCAGTCAGTTGCCAACTTGAGCTTTTGTCTCACAGTAACAGCACCTCTCTCTCATGAGCTAAATGAGACAGAACTGACCTGAAATAACCCTGGCTAGCTCTAACCCAAGTACTCCCCAGGCAGTGCCTCCCATCTTCCTAGGAACCATCGTTGAGATGTTAGTGCCTGGTCCATCTTCTCCCTGGACTCTGCCTTAAATGGAGACTCTGCCTCGGAGATTGTCCCACACTCAAATAAAGGAATGAACGCTTTCTATTAAAGGTATTTCCTGGTAGGCACTATATGGAAAATGTAAAATTAAAAAAAGGAATTGAGAAGCTGTATCACACTGACTTCATTTCTTAGGCTGGTAGCAGGAGTCTCTCTTCAAAGTTGAGAAAAGTTTTCTTTACTCTTAAATCTTGAAGTAAGATTAAGCTACTTAATCTGAGTTGTTATCTTGTGCCTGTCAGTCACCTGTGCTTTCTCTTTTATTGGGTCTATCTCCTTCTCTTACTTTCATTTCTATTTCATTTTTACTAAGGATTTTAGGCAGCTTACAAATGAGATGTTTGTGACAGAACTATTAAAACTCAAATAGTAAAGATGATAAAATTTGCCAGGCCCTTCCAAAAGGTTAGTTTAAGAATCACTTGAAGATTGTGATTCTATTATCTGTCTATACTATCTATCTATCTATCTATCTATCTATCTATCTATCTATTTATCTATATCTATCAACTTTATGCTCCTTATTGCTAGAGATTCTGACTCAAAATTAGAGTTTGGGTTCAAGGAATCTGGTTTAAAATATTCCCCTAGTAATTTTCATGTATAGGCAGATCTCAGAATAATTGTTTTAATAGAAACTGGAGTATAATACCCCATGTTTAATATGGTCAGTGATTTTGTCCTTGAAATTTGCTGCTGAGATTCAAGACAGCCCAAGCAGTTCAACATGATGGAATATGCAATCATTCTTGTTAAAGGAAATAAAGCATCTTACTGATCAGATAATTATATTTTTATACTGTATAGTTGATTCTTCTCAATTCTATAAAATCAGACACACTAGAAGAGTTCACTCTGTTGACCTGAGCTGTAAAATCTAAATGATAGGATAGTTTATTTCTCATAGATACTATCTAGCATGTTGCCCATTTGCCTTCACAATTTGAATAGCTGAGACACAACATAAACTTAGACAGGAAAAATGCCTTACTCTGTCCTGAACTCTTGGCCAATTTTATTTTCCTTATTTTTTATCCAGAATAAATTGAAGTAAAATCCAGCTCCAATTTGTAAATGGAATGTTCAGCTTACAGTTGATTATGCAGATTCAAAACATGGTTTTCTCTGGGAAACATCAGAACTTCCTGTGCACCCTGGCTGGGCTATTGTGTCTTCTCAGGAGCCCTTTCTTGCTTTATTGCTGGGGAGCAGGGTGGTGGCAGTGAGCACTGACAGTTAAAACTCGGTAGTTTTAGCCTTTAAGCTGGTAGCCCTGAGTCATCTGGAGAAGTCTATTGCTCCCCAGTGAGAAGTACCTGCTATAGAAACTTCCTACTTGCAAAGAGCACTTTTGAAATTAACGGCAGGGATGAATCTTGGGCTAGTGCTACACTTAGCTCACTGCTGGGTCCTGCTGGGTCTTTTCTACACATTATAGTTGGCTGGATTGGCTGTGGGCTTAGTTTCTTGTCCAAGCGTGAGAGCTCAGCACCATTAAGTGCAGGGGATACCACTGCCAGTCCCTGGAATCTTAATTGCTGGGATCAAGAAAGCTAGCGGAGGCAGAGGTTGTATAAATTGGGCTGCAGGTTGGCCACAGGATTTCAATCTCAGCTCAGGTATCTTCCTTTTAATGTGGGCCTTTGGGATGGTATCATTAATTTCCAGAGTGGGGTATATTGAATGATTTTGTTTGATCAACAGATGTCTGTATTATTTTTAATAGTTATTTCCATTTGGAATAAATTTTAGGAATAGGTAGCAATCAATGATCTCTTTAAGATGTATATGTTTACAGTATGACCCTCTTAAAAGGAAAAGTGCGCAGGATGGAATTAATTATGTCAGAGATATGCAGATGTGGGGTAAAAACTGAAGTTGCCACAAGAGAGATTACCAAATGAAAGCAATGAACAACGTGGTAACCGGGGATCAGGTCACCTCTTAGATGTTCTAGCATGTTCACCTCTCTGGGACAGTGTCCTTATCTATAAAATGCCAAGACTGAGGTAAATACCCTTCCAGCGATTATGTTATATAATTAGAGGAATGACTCCATCGTGCAGATGTCCCAGCATCCTGGATGTGGTTCTAGCATTGTAGGGTACATGACACTATATGAAACTCATTAAGGAAGTGGTGGTTTAGTCACATACTGATCATTCTTCATACTTTCCCTCACTTCTGAAAAGTGTTCACCAAACAGCTCAGTTGAGAATTAGGCAAAAGGTTATGGAACCAGGAGTCAAGTCCATCCAGTGGTGAATTGGCACCACCCCTGACAGACTGTTTAGCAAAGCTAAGTCCCTGGGCCTCATTAGTCCATGGTCTCTGTTTCTTTGACTATGGGATGAGAGTGTTTGTGCAGCCATTTCAGTGGTTGTTTTGATAACTAAGTGGGATGAAGAATTCAAGGAAATTTAGGGAAATGTTACAGAAATGTAAGGAGATATTAACTGAGGAAGATTAAAAATTTTTTGCAGGAAGAGTCCTTTTCTTCCCAACTATTTAATTCTAAGAATATCTTCCATCATGCATATGCATTTAAAAAGCTTTTAAATTAATCTATATGTCATTATATATATGGGCCACTTTGAATGGTTTTAAGGAAAAAAAATAGTTTGTCTAAATGCAAGCATTTCCTGGACTAACGCATGTAATTATCCTTCTTTCCCACACTTGACATTTAAAGTGATATCTCAGTCTCCTACACTGCTAGCTGTTGAGGTACCACCTGACCCCTTGTGCCTCTAGCCATCTGTGAATTCTTGTCAGTTGAGAGTAAACTCCACATAGCTTTCACAATTGGAGCTTGGTAATAGCAGAGGTCTCTGACTCCTCCTTTCTTCCTGCTTTCTTTCTTAAAATGTCAACGATGTTGGTCCCTGTATCATGATGGGTCTGTTCCCATTCCTCATCAGTATGCTACTGCAGTGCAATCAGCCACCAAAGGTGCACTCCATGGCCAAGCTGCCAGGACTCTCAGGCACTTCCTTTCTTACACAGTAAGGCCAAGCTGCTCCCTTCCTGAGCTGTGGCATCTTCATCTAAATAAATCATTCTCCTTTACCTGCTGTAGTCCTCAGTCTCTGCCTTTCCCTCTATTCTGGCTCTCAACTCAGTTCTGAAGAAAATTTCTCCAACTGTCTGAACCTTATTTCTGTCACCGTCTGAACTTGTTCGCAAGTCACCCTTCCTTCCTGGGCACTGAGTTGATTCTTTCCTCATAAGTTATTTCTCTCTCTCTGTCTGTCTCTCTGCCTCTCTGTCTCTCTGTCTCTGTCTCTCTCTCTCTGCCTTCACTGTCAGTATTATAACTTCCTTATTTTTTGATGTTCCCATTAGCTGTTTCTGCACATGATGATGCCTGTACTTTTCTTTTTCTAAAGTGTTGGGGAGAATGTAAGCTGTGGGAATCAGACAGATTTGCATTCTGACTCAAAATCTTACAGCATGTCTTATTGATCACAGACATGGAAGTAATGATATCTATCTATTAGATTCATTGGCAGTTCAATTCATTCAAGTAAATACCAGTTTATTTTTTCTCCTAGCAAATTTTCTTCATTGTACTCATGTGCCATCTAGCATTTTATAGACAAGCTACTCCACTGCTAGTACACTGTGAGGCATGTGAAGGCAAAAATGCACCCTCAAAGTTGTTGTGAACTTCACATTCCTTTTGCAAGGGAGATGAATCATATCACACACACACACACACACACAAGATTGGAGTGTAAAGCAAACAAGTGGATTTAGAAAGGATACACTACTGGAGCTGGAAAGTTTTGAACGATGATCTTTGAAAGTGGACCATGGTAGAGGATAACAAAAAGAAATACTTAGCTCAAAAAATAGCATGACTAAAAGGGCTAAACTAAGTCTAGGAAACAGTAATTTGTAGAAGATATCCATGGCACAGATTAGAGAAAACAGGCAATATAGTTAACTGTGTACTAATTGCCAGGAGTTAATTGACACCATTTGACCCTGGAAAGGCACTTGTCATAACCATGCCTTAATTTTCTCATCTGTCAGTTAATATACTAACTGAGCACGTATATAAAGTGCTTGTCATTGTGTACAGAACTAACAGTCATTCCTAAATACTAATTTTTTTATATGCTTGTGTTAGGAGAACTGGGAATATAGAATAAGCATAAAAACCTAGATAATGTTTTGGTACTGAATCTTAAATAAAATCTTGGTACTAATTTAGGAGACCTAGGGTTTAGGAGACCACAGTTTTCATACTTGTGCTAATTTAAACTTTCTGAGTGACACAGAGGAGTTTATAAGTCAGCCCTGAAATAACATGACTTGTTATTTGTTTTGCTTTAAAACTTTTTCTCAGAAATGCGGTGACTCCACCCTCCTTTTCAAGAAACAGGCAATCATCTTGGAATGTTACAACACCGGAACGGGAGAAACACGACTGTAAATCTAACATTTCATTGGCTGTAAAATTGTTGTAAGTTTCATAATGGGGTTATATAATTTATCCTTCCCTATTTTTATACCAAAAGGGCAAAGATTCCTGACATGGCAGTTTTAATTCCTTGGAGTACACGGTTCAGCTGAAATACGTCACCTAGAAATTAGTAGCTGTAAGGCCAGCAAGCAGAGATAACAGATGGTAAAAAAATACAAAAAGACAGCTGTTTCTACCCTTAAGGAGATGCCAGTGGTCTGCAGATAGAGACAGGGCCAGAAAATGAAATATTCCAAAGCAGCTGGTGTAACGAGTGCACTTGGTACAGCAGACTGAAGTTGGCCTTCCCTGACTCTCACAGCCAACTTCCTGTTCTATCTCTCCCAGGCTTGGATTTCAGCCAAAGCTTCCTGCTCCTGCTTCAGGATGCTGACTTCATACAAAGGGGACATTGGGGTAGCATTAATGGTGTGGCAATAGCAGGAGTGAAATGATATTAACAGTACCACCTCTGATAATGGATATAGAAAAGGGGAGAGATGGAGAGAAATGGGAAGCCAGTAAAAAATCATCTGGAGCAGTTTTACTTGAATCTGTTTGTTGCATTTTATTACTATCATTGTTATTGAGTCATTTTAGAAACTTTTGCCCAGCATTCTATCTATCAGCTGTAGAGATTTTTCAACTACTATAAAACAATAAAAGCCATAATAATGAAAAGATTATTAAATCCACTTATAGAAAATAAAGCAGTCTGTGAGTAGTTACAAGTGTCATGCATGATGCTATGTGCTTTACACATGTTTTCCAATTTAGCATTACAAGCAAACCTTTGAGGTAGATGTCCTCAGTGCAGCCTTGTCACAGAGGAGGACGTGGAAGCTTAGGAAAGTCAAGTTGGTTTGTCTGAACCAGTTAGGCAGTAGCTTACAGCTAGTAAGACAAGACTAAAACCGAATTTGCCTGATTAAGAAGGCTCTAACATCTCACCTTGAAATATCTCTTGTGCATGGTTGCTTAGATTATGCTAAAAAATCCATGGATGTTGTACATTATTTCAACTGTCTCATGTGTTTGTTTGTTTGTTTGTTTTCCGGTACCAGGAATCGAACTCACGACCTTGCACTTGCCAGGCAGGTGCTGAGCCACTGAGCTAAATCCCCAGCCTCAATGGTCTCATTTTGTTGTTTGGCAACTCTGTTGACAGATTTATAGGTAAAGAGATTTATTATAATTGAGCCTAGATGAGGCCCCATATGTTTAAGAGTTGGTCCATCATTTTCTCCTGTGATATGGAATAAACATTGAGACTTATTGCTTTCCACAGCTTATACTCAGATATAGAACACAGCTTGTGCAGAAGGATCGTTGCGGCTAGCCTCTACCCCTTCTGTATCAGGAAATCCTGGCTGACTTGGAGCAGGAGGATTTTGTCCTGACACCACTGGTGCGGTGGGAGAACCCTCATGGAGAATCATTCTTTTCTTCTACCTGGATGTTTGACCCTTGGCAAGGAGCTGGTTGAGCTCTCCTGGGAGGTAGGAAATGATAAATGAATGCACACAGTGATTTTTTCCTCTGTTAGCTCCATGAGGAGTGTGTTCAGCTGGCCTCACCAGCATCTCTGTAGGACACTGAGCTACTATGACATAATGTGTTTCCAGGAAATGGAGTGACATACATAATGCACTCAGTGTAGTACTTGGCACATACTACATGTACTGTCCTGCCATGTAAGTTGCTGTTGAGCCTGTGTTGAAAGAGGCACCAGGAAGCAGTAGAATGCAGTTCTTATAGGCATAGAAACTAGAACAGTGGCTGACAATCTCTATCAGGTTTTCTGGCCTCTCATAAGGTGGATGACAGATTAGGCATCCAGAACATTATGCCTGCTCATTTAAAAACCTGGACTGAGCCAAGGCTCTCAGCCAGCTCCTGACTTTGCAAAAACCTAAATAAACCTCTGTCCATCTAAGTAGACAAGGAAGAGCACTGTCAGAGGTATATCTCTATGTGCAAAGTACTGTGAGTCATCTGCTATCCAACTGACACTTATAGCTTGCATTTAGGGAAAGCTTCATCCATGCCCAAACTGTTCAGTGTGCTGAACATGAAATAACATAGTACTCCTTTATACAGATAGAATATTAAGGCACGAAGCAGCTAAGAATCTATCCCTAGATCTTCCCCAAAGCAGGGGTCACAGAAGGATAATTTAATTAGTCTGGATCCAGACTGGAGCTCCTAGAACACCTCTATTCACTTCTAGGAAATAGAATGTAATCATTTGTAAGATGTTTTCTGAGTGATTACCATGGCTTTTTTTCCTACTAGGCATGAAAAGGATGAAGAGGAAAAACAAAAAAAGGAAGAGGAGGAGAGGAGGAGGAGAAGAAAAAAATGGAGAAAGGGAACGGGAAGAGCAAGAAAGAGAGGAAGAGGAGGAAGAGAGGAAGGGAGAGAAGGAGAAAGGAGGAGGAGTAAAAACAGGAGGTGGCAGCAGTACTGTTGTCAATCTCTAGACACTGATGACTCAGGCAACATGTGAAAATGTGTTTGCATTGTATAGTGTGAACCACACAACACAAGGATCAGTGACTCAGTGTTTGGTGACAGACAGACCTGATTCCCACATCTATCACATACAAGCTATGTGATGTGGAGCAGGTTACCTACCCTCTGTTGCTGAGTTTCATCATTTTGTCCAGTAAAATAAAGATAACCAGATATGTGCCTCAATTACAATGGGACAAAATAAGTAAATACAGTATATAGAAAATGATAGGCACACTGCCATATACTAAGTGCTCAGTTTGTGACACCTTGTTATCACCACTACTTTTAATAATAAGATAAATATGAAAACAAGGATTGGAAACCACAAAGGGTCCAATCCAGAAGGGCCTCTCGTTGGTCTGAAAGTGTGGGGAACAGTGGAGTTCTTTGCAATAGTGTTATGACTCTGACAGTGAATGCTCCCAAAGCCCATGTGTTAAAGTCTCCAGGATGGTGTGGTAGGGAGCTAGTGGTGCACTGTGGAGTAGCCTAGTCAGAGACTATTGAGGGTGTACCCTTGAAAAAGATAGTGGGACCTTGGTCTCTGCCTTGCTTATTTCCTAGCTAATGATGTGCATGGTCTTCTCTGCCGCACCCTTTCTGCCGTGTTGTGTCACATGCAACAGAGGTCCACTTTGGTGCCATGCTATCCTAGACTGGAACCCTCAGAACTGAGCCAGAACAAAATTTTGTCTTCATTCTTGCCTCAGGTATTGAGTTATAGTGACAGCAATCTAACACCGCTAGGAAGAAGCAAGATCAGGAATGAGTTTTACCGCTCACTCAGGAAGAGTGTGGTAGACAGACTGAAAGGGAAAGACTGAACCCACAGGACCAGCCAGTCGGGCATAGAAACTACACACTCATGTGCACTGATGATTGTCACTTATTCCTGATCTTGTTACAGGAGAGACTCTAAAATCAGCAGATATAAAAATTGTAGCACTTTTTAGGTCTACCCATAAAACTTGGAGTGGGACCTTCAGGGCTAGAATCACAAACTTATGTTTTGACAAAGGTAGCAACTGGGACGTCTCCTGTGGCCTGACCCAACAACTTGGGCTCCACTGATATGTTTCAATAATTCAGGCCCTAGATAGATATATAGAAACTTAGTGACAACAGACAGAAGGTGTTTTAATTTGAGTATAAGTCCCAAGTGGAAGAGACAGCAGATCTTTCTCAATGGGAATGTCTAAAATGCATGAATATGGTTTTCTTCTTATTACTTTTGCATCCCCTAGCAAAGGCTCAGTCTTGTCACGTCTCTGGTTCCATTTGATCAAATAGCAGAGGGAAAAGAGACACAATCTAGGCCAACAGTTATGAAATGAAAGATACTGTTGCTGAAGAAAGTAAAAAAGAAAAGAAAAAAACTTACTGGTTAGTTGTTTAGAGGCTTTGAGGAGGAAGTGGGATTATCAGTAATTCTCATGCCATCATTCACCTTATGTGAATTGACAAGTCATTTTCTCCTGGATCCTCTCAACTCCCCCAAGAATATATTAGCCAGAGGATGATGGCACAGGCACACATAGATTGTAATAAGTGTTGACACACAGTTGTGTGTATGTTTCTGGTGTTTTTCTCTCTTCTGTCTACATATTCTCTTAGTTTTCTCTGCAGGGTGGGGTTCATATGATCATTGTTTGTTTGTTTATCTGAGATTTAATTGCAGCTCTCAAAGCCTGTGAAATGCAGAGACCACTGTTCTGGGTCCAGATCCTAATTTTTTACTATTTCTTGCACAAATGACCTGGAGAAATCTGAATAGCCATTTTATTCTCAGTTTGTTCACACACAAAGTGGGTATAAATGTTCTTATCTTTCAGGTTAGGGGTGGGTGGAGTTAGATACGGATGGAGGAGCACTGTGGTATAGTGGGGGATTTTTAAATGTCAGATCCTTGCTCAGCAACTGAATGATCTCAGCTGACTCCCACTATTAATGCTTGCATAGCAATATCATTTCACTGACTCAGCTCCTAGCTCACTGTCATTTTGGAAGCCAGCACGTGGTGACTAATCTCTATGTCTCAGGCACTCTGCAAATCCTTTGACCTGCATTGCTTCACTGAGTCCTACTGACTTCTTCTGTGAAGCACTGTTGTTATCCTCATCCTACAGATGCTATTGGAACAGAGAAGTTAATTAATTGTTTTCATATCGCAGTAAGTGGCAAAGTTGCAATTTAAGCCCTGATGCACTTATTCCAGACACCATTCTCACAAATACTTTCCTATCCTTCAGAATTTTAACGTGGCTAAATATCTGTTGTCCAAGCTTAGACATGTAGCTTCCTAACTCATAAATAGTTACCAATACTGTGATTTTCCCGAAGACAGGTAAAATCTACTTCCACGTGAATCCTTTTATAATACTTTAAGAAAGCAATCTTACATCTACAAGTATATTTGTGTATGCTTGTTTTGTAGAAAGGTGAATTCACTTACAAAAGCATGGCTTTTGCCTTTCCCTGTTGTACAATTGAGAGCACGCGTTATCTTACCCAGTTGGGGTGTTGAGATAGGAGAGTGGGGCCGTGGTAAAACTGGCTGGGGAAATAGGCCTGGCATGTTCATTACAAGATCGCAGATACATGGGAACGGTTCCCAAAGCCCTGCAAGTGGACTTCTTGTAAGAACAGGAGCAGGTTTTCAATAGGACGCCTGGACCTGACCTCAGCCTGCAGAGTGAGAGCTCAGTTTCACTTCCAAGGACCCGGATGTGGAAGTTCTCACAGGTTTCCCAGCAATTTAGACAGCGTAAAAGTAGAGGCAAGCCATGCAGAGTTTGCTGAGCTGGCTTTTCCTCATGATAGCCCACCCTCGTTTCTCCAGGGTGTTCCCTTTATTGTGCTTTTTCTGCTTTTATTTTGCCCAGGCTCACTCCGCAGAGCCAGTTTTTCCATCACTTTTACTTTCTTTGATAAACTTTGCCACTGCTTTTTGCTCTTTTCTTTCAATTCTAAATGAGAAGAACCTGGAATCTAACTCCAGAAGGAGAGGCGAACAACCCGGAACTCGGTAATGTTTAACTGGTGAGCCACTTTTATAGGCAGGCTACCTGATAACGGTGTCATTAGCTCTCTAGGAATGAGAAAGGGGGAATGGAAAGTTTTGATGGTATTGGCTGAATTCTTTGGTGTAAATGTTCAACCACTGTTAATTTCAAATACGAACACAATGTTGCTGAAGGTAAAATTGGGAAAGAATGCTTTCCGTTAGCTCAGCCAAAGGATCAGAAATTGTAGCATCTTTTCCTCCTTCATCTTTTGAAATCTCTATAACTCTTGCTTACATGAATTACATCAGTTTTCTAGGTCTAATTTCTAGGTATAATCATGAAAACCAGCTTTATGGAGTGATCTCTGTATTTTAGGCAGTGTGGAAATCACTCGATATGGTTTAACATTACCATTGGTTGTATTTTTACATCAAAGAGTATTCTAAATAGGATTCCCAAACCTGTGTTGCACGTTCTTGTGACTGGTACATAGCCCAAAATTCTGAGGGATGCAGGTGGGAATATAGGCAATGGACTGGTTCTGGACTTAGGTACAGTTCAGTCCTTGTCTAAGTTACAGCACTAATAGAGGGGAGACTTTAGTCCAGGCACTTACTCTTTCATGTATCTGCAGTAGAAGCCTAAAAATGGTTACATTTTAGGACTGTGAGAAGAAGTGAATAACAGACCATATGTAAAATACCAGGCCCATCACACATGATCAATATGTGTTAGTGATCAACCTCAGCTTCCTTCATGAATCATTTATGCTTTCTCAATCCACATGGCCTTCTTTTTTAGGTGTAAGTCCTTTTCCCTTGCTCTTCCCTGTGCTAACATATCCTTTGTTTCCTGTTTGTGTTATATGTCCCATAGTCTGATCTGTGACTTGTCTGTTACTTGTCTAATTCTATTTTCACTGAGTCTTCTTTTCTAAGCCTCTTGGCTTTTCTTTGTGTTACTACTATATTTTTTTTTAGGCTGAAACTTCCTCAGGCATGTATTTCTCCTTCTTCTGGGATGTGTGCTCCACCACCAGTGGGACTTTCAGTCTCAACACTTTGCTTTTTCTTCCATTAATTTCTTACACTACTACTTCCTATTTCTCCTGTGTAGATTTCAGACAAAGCCGTCTCTACTGATGTGCGCTCTATTTCATTTTCTGTACAAGATCAGACTTTGCTGCCCTCCTTATTTCTGACATCTTATACTTCCCTTGATTCTGCCCACCCTCTTCCTCAACTCCCAGGCACTTCCTCTGCCTTAACCTGAAATCCACTGCCTTTATTTTCCCATTTCATCCCAAAGGAATTCTGCATCCTTCTTCCATCAGCCCATTATTTTTCTTTTCCTTTCATTTTTTCCCCCAGACTCCTCTGGCTGTGCACATTTTCCCTTTCATGATGCAAAAGACTGGGAGGCAATTTGTATTGATACATCTATTCACACCAGAAGAGTAACATTTATTTTTGTAGAGCTCAGTTCTTGGCACTATTTTGTGGGAAAACAAAACAAAACAAAGAAAAACACTTCTGTCTCCACACACATCTCATTAGTGAGCCTCTGCAGAGAATGACAGTGCGCGGTTATGGGAGGAACATGGCACTGGTTCTAATTTCAGATTCAGCTGCTATAGCTGTGTGATTATGGAACAAGGAAATTCACCTCTGGCTCCAGTCTCCCCATCAATAAAGTGAGGGAGTGACACAGAAGTTTGTCCAAGAAGGGAGCTTTAGAGATGAATAGATTAGAGTCCATTTACATGCTCATCTTATTATTTATGCACTTTTTTGTCATTTCTTGCTGGATAGTAAGA